GCATCACTATCCCACAATACTGTGAAATTGGGACATTATGTAATCACTTAATCACAATAAAGAATTTGAAACAAAAACAAAAAAAAACTTCCTATTAAGCATTTGCCAAGTCTCACATATATTATTCTGCTTAACCTTTCCAGAAACCCCATTAAGGTATTGCCCGCATTTTACAGATACAAGGGACTGAAGAGATAAAGTAACTTGGCAAGGTTAGCAAAGCTAGTAGGGATTTGGACCCAGGCCTAATTTTCAAGCCCATTCTTTTTCTATCGTCTGTTATCCTGGAATAATCTAAATAGGTAAAAGTGGCAAACTATGTATGAAGAAATCCTGGCCAGAATTTTGAGACTCATACGTCTTTATCCTAAGGATAGATCTCTGTCACATGTCTAAAAGACCTTGGATGTTTTAGTAAAGAATCATATACAATTGTACTAGATTGTACTGTATTTTCCTTGGATGGCTGGGAAGGTGGCTCAGTGGTGTATTTTCCTTGGAAATCAAATTTAATGATAAGTGTTTCATTCCAGTTACTTCAAACACCCTGAGATAGGTTAAACACAAAAAGCATTAGTGATACATGAAGCTCTAGTGCCAAAAATAAAAACACACTATATATTGATTAAAGTCTGAATTTAAAGAAGAAAGCATCTCCACCAGAAGCATGTGACACACCACCAATTTAAGAAAGAGAAGGAAAAAACTAATAAAAATTCAAGTAGATTAATAGCAAGTTTTTTTTATTCAAGTTTGAACAAATAAACTGAACCAAGCAAGGACTGCATGTGCCAAGTTGAAACACATAGTAGTGAGTAATTTTATCTAGCTTTTATTTTCATTAAGATCTTATGAAAATATTAAATGTCTTTGAAAAATCTTTGATTCAGTGCATTAGTGTTATTTTTTGAAATATTTTCATATCATACATCATTAATTTTAACTTATGTGCTAAATAATCGGCCTTATGAAAAGGATTAGTTGTAGCTATCAAATATCAAATCAGAAATTGATTATAAAAGTTGCAAAGGATTAAACAGCTATAAATACCTGTTATGGTTTAATAGATTATATTTCTAAATAGATGTTGCATCACTGAGACTCTTACACAGGGTGGAGTGCTTTTATCAAAACTATTTTCTTTCACACACTACTAAAAGCTTCTAAAATGACACAAAGCACACAAGAGCAAGCTCAAACACTGTTCTTTTACAGGAAAAAAGTATAACAGTTACACTTAGCAAATGAAATCAAACTACAGAGACACATTACAACATAATTAATTTCATACTTTAGTACTAAAACTTACCAAATGTTAACATTTTAATAAATTAGAGGCATTAAGAATAGCTAAAAAGATCTCTTGCTGTCAGATCATTCTACCATGAAACACATATCAAACACCCACTGCCTTACCTGACTGTAATTGTACTGTAAATAAAATACGAAAACCAACCCTAGGATAAATATATTCTAGATGTCCTACACCAGCATGTTCTACTTTTTCATAGTTATTTTCACTCAAATAATCTCACTACTCTGACTGATCCTTGCATGTATGTCTCACAAAGTTAATCAACACTGTTTAGTTTATCACCTGGAGAGCTATTAACTGTTGAAGTCGCCATCCTGCCAGTCTCTTCCCAGCTTTTCCAAGCAAAGAAAACACCCCAGCAGCCATGATAAAGGTGCTATTTCATGCTCTAGTGTAAGTTCCTTCCCTCTTGCAATGCCTTAAGAACATCCCCAGCATGCATCAGGTGTTTTTTCTAGGTCATAGCTTGGTACAATTGGGATCCTATCTCTTTATGTTGAAATTCTGAGGTGTAAGAGAAAATGCTCCTGCCTACACACTTTACATACACGGTGTATGATTATATATCTAGTTCTCATTTTAAGTGTGTCTAATAGAGAAACTGGATGTTAAAACATAGATATCTCATACTGGGAATTGACTGCATACAATTTAATCCAAATGAATTCTGAAGTCACAGTTCCACTTTTGCCTTTTTGGCGGTTAATTGGAGATAAGTCTCATGTACTCTTCTGCCCAGGCTATCTTTGAAACTTGATCCTCAGGACTCAGCCTCCCAAGTAGCTAGGATTGTAGGTGGGAGCCATTGGTACCTGACTAAGCCATTTCTTCTAAGACTATAATTCAGCTGTCTAAGCACCCTAATGTAAAACTGTACTTTTTTATAGCTCAATCTGGTCAAGTATAAAGTATATCTTATAAATAAACCTAATAAAAAGAACTCAAAGACTGATAAATCTGTTGAGGACTGAGCATTTACACTCAATTTTCATAAGAGAAGGGCATATCCCAAAGATAGGAAATGATTCTAAAAGGTCAGTTTTATCCTTAACATTTCATTATTGGTATGTCTGACGTTTCAGAAATTAATAAAATATTTGCAGAAAAAGGAATCAACACATAATCAAACACACTAAAGTTAACATTTCCATGTTAGGAACAGAAATAAATTCCCTGCTGTTCTGTCTTCTCATTTATGTTTACAGGCCCCAAGCTTCACTATAGTGAGCGAGGCAAAACTGGTCTTAAAGGGAGAGTGTTATTTCCATTTTGAGATGCATTTTGGAGTAGCTGAAGCAGCAAAGCTATGACAACTAATGGAGGACATCCAAAGTATCACAAAGTAATATCTGCAAACTCCTTCACGTAACTGGTCAGGTGTACTGACAAAGCTTTTGCTCTTCATCTTTCAAGTTTTTCACACCTTCTAGTCAGTCTAGATTGACCAACAATTTGGATTGGCCAACACTAATCACTAAAGGCCATTATAAATATCCATTCATATGTGTAGGTATGTGAGTATTAGAGAGAAAGTAGTATTCTCTGTGGGAAAGTAAGTGCAGAGGCTCTTACAATGGCTCCAGTCTGTATTTTTCCCAAAGAAAATGCTAACCTTATTGATATAGCTTAATTCAGAGAAAACTAATTCTGGTTGCTGATCAAAGTCTGTGGCCATATTTAAAATTCTTCTAATACAAATTAATCAGTGGACTTTGCCACTTGGCTAGTTAAGTCTTTTGACTTCATATATTTTGTTTTTGTAGTACTGGAGCTTGAATCCAGGGCCTCCTGCTTGCTAGGCAGATGCTCTACCACTTAAACCATGCCCCCGGTATTCTTTGCTTGGTTGGCTCAGGGTAACAGGTAAGAACTGCAAGAAGTGGGAGGTGAGTGACTGACAGGCTCAAGGTTTTACTGGGGGGACAGACCTGTGGGGCTGCTCCAAACAGGAGTGAAGGCTGCAGCAGCAGTGCACAGGTATGAGCAGAATATAAGCAAAATTTTAGGATGCAGTCAGAAGGATCACCATGCCAAGCTTAATGACTAAGGTAGAATCTCTCAAATCTTTTACTTGGGCTGATCTCCAACTACAATCCTCCCAATCTTCATCTCCCAAGTAGCTAGGATTATAGGCATGAGACACTTTCCCTGGCCTCTTTGAATTTATGTATAATTGGAAATCAAAATTACTTATTAGCACACAAGAACTACTAGAACTTCAGATTTGATAATCTAGTATATACTAAAAGCAATTCTCAGAAGACCAGAAATACTAGAGATACAGCACCTAAGCTACTGGGCTGTCAGATCTGGAACAAATTAAATAGCTCCTCAATGTCTGATTTCTTGTCTGTAAAATAAATCTGAATGCAAATTTTAAGATGCCAAGGCTAATTAAAATTTTTACAATACTGGAAGGGGAAATTTCAGAGCTGCCACTTTTTTAGCCAGGTATCTACTTTTAAAAAGCCCTATTTACCCTCACCATCATTTTATAAAATAAACAGTAGATTCATCTCCTCAAAATTAGGATACAGTTGAAAATATTTAGTATTAAAAAGACAAACTTCATGACCTAGTATTCTGCTTTTCCCCATTTCACTAGGCAGTCATGGTTGGAAAGTCAACCTTTGGGAACCACTAGACTACATCTTTTCAAGGCTCAAATAGTATGATTTTTAGTTTTAATGCTCTTTGGTGTTTCTTTTTTAATTTAAATAAGGTTGAGGAACATAAGGCTATGGGATGTTGAAGGCTCTCAAGATTATTTGGCACATGATGAATCAGAAATATATCCTACTTACTGCCAGTGGGAAGCCTATGTGCCTATATTGATAAATTTGCATGGCTGGCAAATAATTAAAAATATCCAAAGGCCCTTAGCAGGAAAATGTTTACATACTCCTGAGTAGATGTGTCAGTGAAAGACAGTGCAAATATAAACTGATACTTAAATGAGTTTGAGATATAGTCACTGAAATAGAATAAGCTTCAAATTACTGAGACAAATATAAACTGCTAGAGATATGACTATTCTATAATGAATGGTTGCTATCAAGCCCACTTTACAGATCAGGAAACTGAGGCAATGGGATACTAAGAAGTTTGTCAAATACATACAGCTGATGTGCCAACGTAGTGAGAACTGGAATTCCTATCTAGGCCACCGTTTTTTGATTATGACTCAAAGAGAATTTGTTTGGATTTTGATTACCATTTCCCTTTTTATAATGAGTGGCAATTATTTAAATTTTATTTTATTTATTTATTTTTCTGTTGGTTGTGGGACTTGAACTCTGGGCCTGGTTCAGCTCAAGGCAAGTGCTTTACCACTTGAGCCACGGAGTCACTTCCAGTTTTCTGAATGGTTTATTGGAGATAAGAGTCTCAAGGACTTTCCTGTCCATGCTGGCCTTGACCTACGATTCACATCTCTCATCCTCCTGAGTAGCTAGGATTACAGGCATGAGCTACCAACCCCCAACTATTTAAATTTTAGAAATTACGTAAGGTAAAATGTTTTCCCATTTTACTTTTCCAAATTTTACCTTTTTAACATCATTCTAAATATTGGTAGTGTTTTCCAGTATAAAAAGAGTCCAGATGCCAGTTAGTATAGTTCCTAAACTTTCTCAGGAAGTCAATATAATTAAGAATTTAGAATTTCTAAAGGGCACATACTTACAGATATCCTCTTTTCCTTTTAGAAGAACAATATATATCTTCTGTTAAATCAATCTGTAGTAAGAGAAAACACATATGAGTACAGTGTCATGAGAAATTAATCTCTGAAGAAAAAGGTCAAGTTATTTCATGTTCCTATGTCTCTAGCTCAAGTTTGACTGGGCACCAAGGGCAAAAGAAGGGGCTACTTAAGATTAGTGCTTAAGAGTAGCAGTGCTATAAGGATCTCAATAAGTAATCTGACTCAGACACCAAGAGACGGTATAGTCCAATTGTACAAGAAAGCAGCAACACACAGAAGTCATGTATTTTTATTTAGTCCTCTGGTTTTACCAGAGTCAGGCCCATAGAAAGTTTAGAGACACTCTATGAACAGCTGAACACAGCAAACTAGTTTATCTACCAAGAAAGGCATACTCACTCTCAAATGTTTGCAGACAACTTGCTAATTTTCCCATCAAAACCCCCAAACAAAATATCTCCCTTTAACTAGGTATCACTGGCTCAAAATGGTTTTCCTAGGGCTGGGAAGGTGGCTCAGTGGTAGAGCGCTTGCCTTGCATGCATGAGGCCCTGGGTTTGATTCCTTAGCACCACATAAGCAAAAGGAAAAAAGCCAGAAGTGGCGCTGTGGCTCAAGTGGTAGAGCGCTAGCCTTGAGCTGAAGAGCTGAGGGACAGCGCCCAGGCCCAGAGTTCAGGTCCCATGACCGGACCCAAAAAAAAATGGTTTTCCTAGCTACTTAGGAGGCTGAGATCTGAGAATCATGATTCAAAGCCAGCCTTGGCAGAAAAGTCCATGAGATTCTTACCTCCAATTAACTACCAAAAGCCAGAAATTGCATCGTAGCTCAAAGTGGTAAAACACCAACCTTTAACATAAAAGCTTAGAGACAGCACCCCTTTCAAGCCTCAGGACCATCACAAAACAAAAATTTCCTTTAAACAGTGCAAAGTTTCATCTACTGAGGGACATCTGGGTTGGTTCCATATCTTAGCTATGGTAAATAATGCTGCAATAAACATAGTTGTGCTGGTAGCTTTAGTGTGGCCTTGTTTGTGATCATTTGGGTAAATGCCCAAAAGTGGGATTGCTGGGTCATAGAGGAGCTCTTTGTGGAGCCTTTTGAGGAAACTTCACACTGCAAAGTGGTTGATCAAGTTTACGCTCCCACCAACAATGCAGTAGAGTTCCCTTCTGTCCACATCCCCTCCAGCATCTGTTGTTATTAGATTTCTTGATTATAGCCATTCTAACTGGGGTGAGGTGGTTTCTCAATGTTGTTTCCATTTGCATTTCTTTTATGGCTAGAGAGGTTGCGCATTTCTTCATGTGTCTATTGGCCATCCTTCTTTCCTCTCAGTAGATGAATGGATCAAGAAAATGTGGTATATATACACAATGGAATTCTATGCTGCCATCAGAAAGAATGACATTGCCCCATTTGTTAGGAAATGGAAAGACTTGGAAAAAATTATATTAAGTGAAGTAAGCCAGGCCCAAAGAAACATAGGTCCAATGGTTTCCCTTATTTGCAATAACTAGTATATGTCTAAGACAAGCAGAAAAGGTCAGATGAGTTAGGTGAAATGAACCCCAAGATAAGGACACAAGTGGTTTTTTTCTTTCTTGCTATTGTTCGTAACATATTTAGAAAGTGATTGTTTTGTTGCTTTGTATGTCCTTCCCCCACGGTATAATCCCTGTTTTCACAGTATTTGATGTTGTTATACTTTGGGGAGGGGAAGGGAAAAAAACAAATTGTTAAAATAGGGATATAGGTGGACCCATTGCAACAATGAGATGTACAAAATGCTATGTTGAAAAACGAACTTCACAACTTTGGTGGGGAGAGGAGGTGTAGTCATGGAGATGGGAGGGTAGAGATGGTAAGGGAAAAACAAAGGAGGAGGCAACAGTGCTTGATAAGAAATGTATTTATTACCTTGCTCATGTAATTGCAACCCCTCTGTACAGTATTTTCACAATAAAAAACTTATTAAGTAAAAAAAAAAACAGTGCAAAGTTTGTTGCAGCACTGGTCTAAATAAAAACATAAGAACTTTCCTCAAGTCATGAATAGATAGATCATGGTTTAAACATCAATTTATGGCTGACCTCCTTGGGACAATGAAGGAGAAAAGCAGTTAGCATCTGAATATTTAAAACACTCAAGATACATATTTTATATTGCATACCTACAATTCAACCTTCACATGACTGTAATCCCCACACTACCTAGCTAGTGCTGGTACTAATTGGAGTCATTTATTTTCTCCTTTGGTACCTTTATAATAATGAAGCAAAGAATAACTTGTACCCAGATCAATCACTAAGCCATGGTGCCTTTTATTCTATTTCAGACTATTTTCAACTTTAAATTAATATCCTTAATCTATTTTGGAGAAGAGAGTGTTGGAGATTGTATCAGTATGAGACTAAATACAAATGATTAAGACTATTTATAAACAAGTAATATGAGTTAAAATTTTTTTCTCCCATTTGCTTTTTTTCACACAAAGGAGAGAACCCCTGCATAAACATTAAAATAAAGTCTACACAGTTCACAAGGTGAACAATGAAAAATGTGAAAAACTTCACTATTCTATATTAAAATTTTGTATTTGCTGCAGATAATTCTGACAACTAAAAAAAAAATCAATGGTAAAACTTCCTTCTATAGAATCATTTCCAGATCTATAGGTGACAAGAGGATGGGAAAGGAATGTTAAACCATCTACTAGTTTCCTTAATTTGGAAAATGGTTCCATGAACAAACATTTGCAAAGAATAATCAATATTTTACTCTGGGTATATGAGATGAAGAAACTGGTGAGGAAGATGAAGGGTCAGAGAACTGCCTCAGTCTGACAAATATTTCAGCCTCAACCTTTTATTTCTCTCTAGTCTCACACCCCAAATCAGTTGCAAAGAAGTTAACTCCTAGAGATGAAGACAAAAGAAAGACAAAATGTTTCGCTAATGCCTACAACCTTCAAGGCCAATTGATCATAGGAAAAAGGAGTTCAGAGTATTACTCACAGGCAGTACACATGCTTAGCATATTCCACCCTAGGTTTGATCCCTGGCAAGGAAAAAGAAAGATTAAGAAATGAAAGAAATGCTACTCATGAGAGGAAATCAAATCACAATATCTAACCTAGCCCAGTGGAATATTTTTGTTTATATGCTAAGTACCAGAACTTAAGTTCAGAGACTCTCACTTACACTAGGCTTTTTCATTCACAGCTAGCACTCTACCACTTGAGCCACACCTCTAGTATAGTATTTTGCAGATTAATTAAAGACAGAATCATATGGCTGACATTAAACTATTATCCTCCAGATTTCAGCATCGTAAGTAGGTAGGATTACAAACAGGCTTGAGCCATGGAAGCCAGGCTGGAGTTTTTCTATAAAACAACAATGAAAGTCCAACTGACCATGCACTCCATTCTCTCTACCCACCCCACTTCAAATCAGTAATGTCCTCTATAAAGTCATTCTATTAAAATACATTGAATGCATAATTTAATATAAAAGACCTAAGCAGATTGCCACCATACAGGTTCTATTTACAAATAATCAGGGACAGGATTAATTTGGCTAAAATTATACTGAAAATTTTTCACTTTTATGGATACACAAATATTTTATAAAATAAGGAAGTTGAAATGTCTTAACATAGCCCATTTTTAAGCTTGGACCAAAGTCCACAGTGAACAGGAGAGTAAAAAGTGACTTTCGAAAAAGCAAAACATGATGCAAATACCAGAGTGTTGCTTAACTTCAAATAACCATCATATTTGGAGACATTCTGAAAAACAAACCATTAACATGTTTGCTTTGGACCTTCACTTTAAATAACTTGGTCTATTAACCAATACTTTGAAAACATTCTCCCAGAAGTAAGGTCAATACTAAACTTGTGATAGTATCTGTTGGAAATGTTTTAAGCATGATTAATCAATCATGCTCCTGAAATTTATGGCTCAAAACGAATCTTAATATATTTGAAAAAGGATGTTCAAAAGAGTGGAAAATATTAATAAACTCATTAGCACATAATGTTCAAATCTAAAAGTAAATTCTACCAAGACCTTTTGAAAAAGTTTCCTAAGTAACTAATAGTTCTTAGCTGAATGCCAGTGTCTCATACAACCCTAGCTATCAAGGGGCTGAGATCTGGGAATTACAATTCAAAGCCAGCCCTGGAAGAAAAGTACAAAAGTCCTTGTGGCTCTCTCCAATTAACCACCCAGAAGGTGGAAGTGGAGCTGTGGCTCTAGTTGAAAAGGGCTTATACTTGAGCAAAAAAAAGCTAAGGGACAGTACCCTAGGCCTGAGTTCAAACCCCAGTACCAACACACAAAAAATTATATATATATATATATATATATATATGTTTATATATATATAATATGTTTATATATATATATATATATAAACATATTAAGTCTTGTCTTAGAAGTATATATTAATTGCCCATTAAATGAAAACTATTATAGTAGAATAGTCTACAAATCTAGTTATTGCTGGGTGATAAATATAAGTGAATTTTATGTTTTATTAATTTTATACACTTTTCTATTTTTGTGCTGATTTAGTATCTTTCAAATTTACCATAAATAAAAATATTTAAAGCTAATGTTTAAAAAAACATGAAGGAAGATGAAAATGACAAGCCAGTCAAACCACTGGAGGATACCTTTCAGATTTTAAGCTATGAGAGAATTTTTTCCTTTCCACTGAAGAACATACATGTATGAAAATGGTTAGAACTTAATGGGACACTTCCTTTTTATATATTAAAACATAGTGAAGGAAGGTTAAAACTCAAGTAGGACAAACAATTATGTAATATGCATGTGTAGATTGTACAGAAGATGAAGATAAATCCCAAGATTAGCACAGACTAGGATGCTACCTCATGGAACAAGCAGATAATGTGTGTGTGTGTGTGTGTGTGTGTCTGTCTGTCTGTCTGTGTGTGTGTGTCTGTCTGTCTGTCTTGTGCACATGTGTATCCCCTAGGGTTTAAGCTCAACTCAAGG